TGATGGGATTCTTCTTCATGACTGTGTTCATGTTCGCCATCGCCATCCCTTACCATCATTGGACGTTGGATGCCAACCGTATTGGATTCATCGTAATGTACTCATTTACATTTTTCTTCGCGAATTTTGGGCCTAACGCGACTACATTTGTGGTCCCGGCTGAGATTTTCCCAGCCAGGCTTCGGTCAACATGTCATGGGATTTCAGCAGCTGCAGGTAAGGCTGGGGCTATAGTGGGAGCGTATGGGTTCCTATACGCTGCCCAAAGTAAAGATCCAACGAAAACTGATGCAGGATACCCAACGGGTATCGGAATAAAGAACTCACTTATTGTTCTAGGGTGTATCAATGCTCTAGGAATGTTATGTACATTTTGTGTGCCAGAGTCAAAAGGAAAATCTCTAGAGGAAGCATCACAAGAAACTATATCTGGAGAAGCATGAGGTGATTAATTAATTGTTTTTGGAGAATTAAGTTGTAATTTTGTGTGATGACTGATGCAAGTCTTGTAATTTTGTTTTTTTTTCTTTCTTTTTTATGTATCTGTTAATTGCTTTATTTTAAATGAAAATATTGATTCAAAATATTAAATTGACATTCTTTTAACAAATGTTTGATGTTTATAGGGCACCAAAACAACCATTTAAGAACTCATCATCCATTCGATTTAGTAAGTCAATACTAATGAATTTCATCTTCGAGAATGATCACTCAACTGTAGCAGTAGCAACGGGAAGATTAAAGCAAATTTCAACCCCATAAAGAAAAACAATAGATGTTTTCAAGAAATTTCAATTATACAACGTACAATTGAAAGAGCTACAAGCAACATGTTTAATCTCCAAAAAATGAAAAATGTAGAAAATGATGAGATTTAGTACCATCGAGTGTAATAATAAATCGGACTAGATTGAGATCAATCCCACGAAAGAATATGGTGTATGTGAGAGTGTCAAACATATGCTATTCTCTATCCTTTAATCAGAAGTCTGGAGTTCATCCTTCATAATGAAATTGTCTTTGATATTCGAAACACTTTATTCTCAAAGTGAGGTTTTCGGACAGTTCTTTAGGATTAGTCAGTTTTAAATACGGATAAGAAACCAAAATAAAATAGAGACAAACGAGAGTCAGCTATATATGTACACTTAATTAGCACATGACGTGAATGATTAGCAGTCTGCACGACTATTTTATTAGCTGAATATGCCCTAATTAATTAATTTTTAAAATGGCCCACTAGATTATCTTACTTTATTTTTTTTAAGAGCAACTTTCACATATAGCAAACATAAAAATCATATTTGTATGTTATAGTTGTAGTTTGCATAATTGCGCTTCATAGCAAATTTCATGTTTGCTATGAGACTTTTGATTTGTATAACTCGCTACAAACATCCATTTTTATACAATTTGTTCAGTTTTGTATAAATTCATTTATACATTGTAATTTGTATAATAAGATCTGTATTTGTATAATTATAAGTGTATAAGACGAAAATATATGTATTTGTATTTGTATATACACTTTTCTCTCTCTTTATACAAACAAAAAAACATTTTATACATTTTATATCGAAATGTATAAAATGACTAATTGTATACCGAAAATAGCTAATTGTATATCGAATCAGATGGCAAAAAAAGGGTATGTTTGCTGCGAATTACAATTAAAATAAACTATGGCTATAACATTTAATTTGAATTAATAGTTTGTTATTTCATACAATTTTCCTTTTTTTTAATTAGCAGTATCTAAATCCAAATCATTGACTTTTTGACAATACTTTAAGTTAATTACTTCTAATTCAAGATTAAGGATAACATAAAAAAATAGTTTGATTAGTATATACGATGGGTATCTCTATTTTATTGAAGGAATGAATAAGGTGCGCGTCTACTCTTAACTAGAGGACGTGAGTTAAAATTTTGAAAATGATAATTTAGGCGGGTCGGTTTCCATCCCATTAAGGTCCAACCTCAGGTTTTTAGCCCATGCCTTCTTGGCCCAGCCCATTAAGGGTATCTTCGTGAGGGCCTGCTATTTAATTTTAATTTTGGAAATATTAAAGGATTTGTGTAACACTATGAGATTTGTGTAAAATTCTCAATTTTTGTCTTGAGCTTTTTTGTTTCGAAATCTTCCTCTTCTACCACCTCCTCCTCCTTTGTATTTGCCACGAGCTTTGATTTCGTTTCATATTGTGCAACATTTAAGATAGAATTAATTAATTTTTCCTGTTTTACCTTTCTACTAAATCTTTTATTGAAAGTGTAAATAAGTTTGTAAAATTTTAAAAAAGTTTCTTACAAGGTAAATTAGTAACATTATCCTTCTTACTTATTTCTTACTTTCTCCGTCCCATTTTATGTGTCACTGCTATTGTTGTTGCTGGCATAGGTTTTTTCACTGATGCATATGACCTTTTCTGCATTTCTTTGGTCACTAAATCGCTCGGTCGCATTTACTATCATCGCGATGGTTCACCAAAGCCCGGAGATTACCCTTTATCTGCCACGATCATGTCTGAATACGCTAATAAAAAGACTCGTGGCACGTTTATTGCTGCTGTGTTTGCAATGCAAGGTTTCGGAATCTTGGTTGGTGGAATGGTAGCTATTGTTGTATCCGTTTTGTTTAATGCAGGGTACCCTTCCCCTGCATTTCAACACAATGCTGTTGCATCTACCGTCCCCGAGGCTGATCACGCTTGGCACGTGATCTTAATCCTCGGGGTTCTCCCTGCTTTACTAACATATTACTGGCGGCATCCAAACAAGACTGATTCTGGTTCCCCTCCTGGTATTGGTGTGAGGAATTCTTTGATTGTTTTAGGTATAGTATTAATTTCTTTGGAATGTTGTTTACATTGTTGGTACCAAAATCTAAAGGGAAATCATTGGAGGAAATGTCAAAGGAAAATGAAACTTCAACATGATGATGTTTTTAATTTGTATCTTGGAGGAATACAAATTTTAGTCTTTTGATTTTATTGTTACCTGTTGTTTCGCTCGCTCTAGTACTTTGAATCGATTACCATGTTATTCGTTGGTGCTATTGTTCTCTTTCTCTTTTGATTTTAGCATGGGTTTTTCATTACTATATTTCTTCCCATACTTGATTTTGATATGTTTTGCTTGAAGTGATGATTTATCGGAAATAACCTCTCTATCTTTATAAGATAGTCGATATGGGTAAGATTGTGTGTATATCACCTTCTCCAAACTTCATCTGTGGAATTATAGTGAATATTTTAAGGCTTTGTTATTTTCTTTTTCTTTTATAACCATTTGATGGTATTTGTCTATGTCCTGACTAATCTAGATTCGCATCATGTAGAATTTATAAGTTTTGATTACTACTTATATTATTGAAACTCTCTAAAAATGTTATCACATACATATCAAATCTATCAAATATACATTACTTTTCGAGGATTCGAAAATATCGTTTTTCGAAGAAGTTTAACTGGCTTAGCTCACTAGTACCACTAAGGAAACGCACATTCGTGTGCAAGTGTGAAGCTGTCGCCCCAAATACTTGACTTTGACTAATTGGTCAAACTGCTCTCTTTCCTGGCACCCTATTATCTTAATCCATAATTTAGCAATAATGATCAATGGTTTGATTTTTTGTTCCTCATAATGGTCAATGCTTTTTTTATTTTATTTTTAATTAAAAAAGAGTTACTCCCTTCGTCCCAGGAATATTTAGTTCAGAACCTAATTATTATTGCGTATTAACTTGAATTTATTCTAACATATATAAATTTAAAATTCTGAATTCACCTCTGAATTTAAAAAACGTCCACGTTAAACATATAGAACATGTGGCAATTTGATGCTCACTATATTTGATGAAATTTATGCGAGTTGAACTTCTTTTTTTTCTTCCAAAGGGAACCAACGGGCAATGGGTAACGTGTTTGGAAATTATTGATAATGATTAATGACAAACTCAATGAATCTAAAGGAAAAGTATTTTAGGAAAAAGAAAGAAGCTAAGGTGACAACATTGAACACAAATACTATTCGTCTCATTTTATGTAAAAATGTTTATTAAATAATTCAAATAGTCGTTCATCTAATTATTTAAGTTAAAAATAATAAATAAATATGTATAATTAATATATGATATATGTATAATCGTGTATAATCAATATATAATATATGTATATAGACTGACAAAAGTAAACAACAAAACTATAGTGGAGTGTGTGTAAAGATTGTGAATAAAATTTAATAAATCAAAGAAGGTTTTTAATTCGCAAGTCACTTACATGTAAATAATCTTATGAGTTTATTGGTTGATTATTTCAACTTTCACTTCATTGATGAGAGTTTGATTCTCCATTTTCTCCATTTATATATATAAAAAAAGGTAAAAAATATACCTAAAGTATCATGTTTTTTTCAAGTTTCTTATTTGAATTATTAATTATGTGTGGTTGTTACTCGAATTACCATCAACTATTTATCATAACACATTTCAATTACCAGTTGTTTCCTTTTCCTACCGGAGTATCATCGTTATTATTCATGTAGGAAAATAGAACAATTAATAGTTGAAGTATATATGTTTTGTCAAATAATTGATGATAGGTTAGGTACGAAAATGATTGATACTTGATAGTTCAGATATGAAACAAAAAAAATAAAATATTTTATGTATTTTTTTTATTCTTCACTCCTAAAAAACAAAATATATATATTTGCAATATTTATTCTTTATTCTTTAAATACACCACAAAATAAATTTGCTATAGCTGAAAAACCACGTAAGAAATACGTAAGACATGAAATAAAACGCACATTTTCCCCCATCCCTTTTTTATGGTCCACACACTTGCATTATACAATATCTAATTATGTTAATTATTTTAAATGAAAATAAATACAAAAACACACAACTTCATGGAAATTGCAAGAAAGGACTTTTTGACCTTTGACTATTCTTTTTATTTCTTTCAAAATATATGTTAATATAAATACCCATTCTTAGCCTTCACTAAACACTTCAACCATTTTCTTTCTTTTTTTTCACTGAAACTGAAGAGTGAGACTTCTAATAATTTCTCTCACACATAAAAATTTGAAGAAAAAAAAAGAGAGAAAGAAGTTAAAGTTATTTCTTTTTAGTCTGTTTCAAAAAAACGAGTGAGAAAAAAGAAAAATGGGCAGAGCACCTTGTTGTGAGAAAACGAGCTTGAAGAAAGGGCCATGGGATCACGAAGAAGATCAAATTCTCATCTCTTACATTAATAAAAATGGTCATAGCAATTGGCGTGCGCTCCCTAAACAAGCTGGTACTTGCTCAAAAATTACGATATATTCTGTTTGTTTCAATTTATGTGACGTTATATTCATTTTGACTTTCGATATGTTATAATATAATGTTAACTCCCTTTCTAAATTTGCAAATATTTTGACTATAAAACATGTTTGATCAATTTTTTTGGGGAAAAATAAGTACTTTTGAGTAGGAGTAGGAGTAGTTCTATTTAGAAGCTGAAAAAAAAGAGAAGTTTTTTGTGATAGGACTTTGAGAATTTTGGTCAAGCATAAATTCTTGATCTAATATTAATAAAAAGTATTTTTTTTAAATTAATTTATCGAACACAAATTGTTATTCTCCAAAACTACATTTTACATGAATAATATGTCAGATTTAGAACTGCAAATTTTATTTTTTTAAAAATTGTTTTGCTTAAATTTTGTGCCCCATCAAAAAGTAGTAATAACTATTTTATTGGCCTATTATGTTTACTAAAAAATTGATGAAGAAATTATTAGAAAAATATGATGGAATTGGAAGAAAAAAAATGTTTTCAAAGAATAAAACCTAAAACCTATTTTTGATTTATATATTTCTTGAGATTTTGGAAAATAAAACTCATTTCTGATATTCATTTTGCCTTTTTTTTTTGTTTTTGTTTATTCAGGATTATTGAGATGTGGAAAAAGTTGCAGATTGAGGTGGATGAATTATTTGAGTCCAGATATAAAGAGGGGAAATTTCACCAAAGAAGAAGAAGATAATATCATCAATTTACATGAAATTCTTGGCAATAGGTTAGTAATTATTAATTACGAAATTTGTTGCTAATATGTTGCTTATATATAGTCGATTAACATAATTTTTAAATAAATTTATCATTATGTTATTGTTAATAGGATTAACGATAAATTTTATTAGTTAGTGAAAGATGTAATAGTCCATCTCTAATTTTTATTAAGGGATTCGAAATGTGAGGATCATAGTCATACACACTTTGATCACATGTCCTTATGCCCATGTTTTTTTTTAAAAAATGGTGAAAAGATTCGTTTAGATAAGTTGGTAAATAGAATATTAATGATAATTCTATTAGAAAATCTATGCAATAGAAATATATGCATTAATTGTAATTAAAAATATGAATGTAGATGTGACATAGACCCCTATTTCCCTAGATTTGACATTATAAATATAATATATTTAACTAAAATCTCAAATATCAATGCACTATTTAATTATAAAGATTTTTATATTATACCCTTATTCTAATTAAAAAATGATTTTTTTTCTTTAGATGGTCAGCAATAGCAGCAAGATTACCGGGAAGAACAGATAATGAAATAAAAAATATTTGGCACACCCACTTGAAGAAAAGGCTAAAAGATTATCAGTCTCCTCAAAGCTTCAAAAGACACTCCAAAAAAATTAATCAAATAAATAATTGCATACATGCTCCTAACTCACCAGAAATATCGTCTAGCGAGACGTCAGTCATGACAACCGATTCATCATCAATTGCCACTTTTGATACAACGATCGACGATCAAGTAGTGATTAACCAGGAAGAAATGGACTCATCGGAGTATTTTGCTAAGATCGATGAGAGTTTTTGGACAGACGAATTAGCGACAGAGAACAACTTCAATTTTGTTACTACTATGGATGGTGAAGAATTTCAAAGCTTAGACATATTTAATAGTACAACAATTATGGAGGATGACATTGACATGGACTTTTTGTTCAACTTTTTCATAAAGACTGAGGAATTTTCAGAATTACCAGAACTTTGAGGGGTCAATTTTGGGTTTCATCATAAATTGAGAGTATGACAAGTTTGAAATTTTTTTATGTGTTTTTTCTTGACCATTAAATATGGGGAGGACCACCAAATTCTTTTATTATTTTATTTATTTTGAGATTTGAACTTCTTTGTTTTTAGTTTTAACATATAGTAATCAGTAGATAGTGGAAAATACAATATTGGCATGTGAAATAATGCTAATTATACAGATAGAGACATATTGAGGGACCTTATGTATGAAAAAAATATTTAAATCTATTGATCGGTCATGTCATATAGGCCCAACCAAGTTAGACATTCAATTACTCTGATATCCGTAGAATGCAATACTTGATATATGAATTAGAAAAATGAACAATCAAACATATTTCTCGATTCACTCAAAAGATTAATTAAACACCTGCCTTTTACAAGAGGCATTTTTTTTATTATTCTCTCACCAAACAAATCCTAACATAAAAGATAGGATTTTTGAGACCCTACATTATTTGATTTATTTTTACATAATAATGTTACATTTAGGCATATTGCCTGCTAGACCTAGCTCTTGGTCCAAAAACACTAAGGGGTCGTTTGGTTTGAATATGAGTTATGATGGGATAAGTTATGTTGGGATAAGTTATGTTGGGATTAGTTATGATGGGATAAGTTGTCCTGGGATTATTTCTTATTGAGTGTTTGGTTTGTTATATTCAAAATAATATATATTGATAAATTTTAAGAACAAGTTGTTTGTTTACAAAATTACCCTTCACTTTATTTAAACTTTTTAAATTTTTCTTTGTGAGCTTTAGTTATTCATTTTTTAAAATAAAACTTTTATTTTTTTTAACTTAAATATTTTTGTTTATGTATTCCCATGATAAGTACCATGTGTATTTAAAAATATAACTTTTTTCTTATTTAGCTTAAAAATAGAACTTTCCTCTTAAGTTTATTAAAGAGAAGAAAATTTATGAGAAATCAAAATAAAATAAACATAAGAATTAGTCAAATAAATTCATAAATAAAAATTATATTTATATAGTATAATTTTTTAATAGAAAAATATGTATAATTATCATAAAAATAAGGAGTAGTAAATATTATTATACATGGTATTAAAAAAAATGTAAATATACATAAATGTAAAAAATGATATATAAAAAGGATTTAAAGGGACATATTTGTCATTTACCTATTCTATCTCGGGATAAGTTATCCCGGGATTACTATACCACCCATGGGGAGGGATAACTTATCCCGGTACTAATTATTAATCCCGGGATAAGTTATCCCGGACTTGCCAACCAAACAACATAATTTTTTTTTATCCCATCACTATTTCCTTATCCCATCACTATTATTTCTAATCCCTCACACCAAACGAGCCCTAAGTTCATCCCTATTATACTTCAAGCTCTTAGCCTCTTGCCTTGAAATTTGGTATGAATTCATGAGGACTTCCTCTGGCATGGCTCTGATAGCCGATAAACGTCCGGCTAACGGGCTAATCATCGCGTTGTCATTGGTCTTGAAAGCGATGTAATCGAGCCCTTGCTCCCCTGCCTTCTTCACTATAGCAAAGTTTTGAGGCACGACGATAAGTTGCCCCTGTCTCACCTCATCATCAAACACGGACTTCCCCGCGTTCCCAACCACCTGGAACCGGCCACTTCCACGGATGATATAGATGATTGAGTGAGCGTTCATGTTCCAATGTGGTGCCACTATAGCATTCTGTAATACGTGCAAAAATGTGACGAGGAATTTAACTTATATACACTGATCATATACAATAACACAATTAGAACCGTTTTTTTCAAGTGACTAACTCCTATTGACATATTAGTATGAACAATCACGTGTAGTTATCTCAAGCTACTACTAATTTGTAACTTGTGACAACTACGTGTAGTTATCTCAAACTACCTGTTATTCATAGTGATGAATACATGCATTTATATCGAGTTACTATAGTTCAGAGTAAGAGTATATAAAAGTTAAACTCTTTAATATGAAAAGTTGAATTGTCAGTATATAAAAGTTTAAACTTTTTAATAGAAATAACCACTTACGTTGTAGAGGGTTCCTCTCTCAGCGCTGAGCTGGAGCCAGTTAAGGACGGGGAGAGTGTTGCTGTTGACGGTGCTTATGCGTCCGCCACGTGGATTGTACACGTCAGACCTAGAAGGACGGCCAATGTTCTCCCTCAACTTCATTGTGCAAAAAGTTTCTTCCAATCCATTAAGAGGAATTCCTCTTCTACTATGCCATTCTCTTTCTTCTTCTTCTTCTTCTTTAGCCTCCGGGAGGAGGAACCGAAGGTTCTCAGCCTGGACAATAACGCCCCTCTCGGGGGCCTGTTCCTGGATCTTTCGTATAACCTCAACGTCTACATTGAATGCCTCGGAGAGAACTTGAGCATCAAATCCACTTAACATGTTGCCTCCTTTCTCTTGTTCAGATCCTCTTCTTCCATATTGGCTGCCTGTCTCTTGTTGTCTTCCTAATACTTGTTCTTGTACACCACGTTGAGGATTCCCAGCTAGGAAGAATTTCTGCCAAATTCAAAATCAATCAATAAAAAAAAAATGAATTAAGTACCATGATTTTGTTACAATATCCTTGAGTCGAGGCTCGTCTTATCATAAACAACTTCTCTATCTCTGAGGTAGGGTTATGTTGATTTTGTTACATATTTTGTGTCTAATAAGTAAAACATGTTATAAATGAATGATTTACTATTTATATATAACTATATATAAGAGAGTGATTCAAAGATTTTACTAGCTAGTATAACTCTATGTGGTTCCAATTTATCTTGTATCTTGTGAAAACAACTACTTCCTTTATCCCAATTTATGCAACAGTTTTGATTGGACATGAAAATTAACACTTGAAAGTCTGGTTTTTGAAATTCGTGGCCTAAAATATGTATGTTGTAAAACGAAAAATATTTAGAAACGTATCATTCTTTTTAATTACCCTGAATGTGAGATCAAGTTGATTGGCAACATTAGAAGTGTCAATTAGTGAGACACTAATAATAGGTTCTTCACCATCATTGTATGTCCAATGAGTAACTCCAGCAGGCAATGCAAGAATATCTCCCGCCCGAAAACGCCTAACTTTCTGGTGACGATCGAGTGATCTCTGCCCTCTATCTCCTGACCGCGCCCTACGATCAAGTGGCGACTCTGTTTCAAATGTCTCTGCGCAGCCTGGGAATATTGTTGAATGAACTCCACTTCCTACATTCATCAAAATAAATGTCAACTAAAACCATAACACAAGCTAAGCTATACTACATAAGAGTAGTAGAGTTGCCTCAGTCAGTGACAGATTCAGAATTTTTATGTGACTGACGATTTTGTTTGTACTTGAATTTAAAATGTTATGATGTTATTTAGAGTACGAGAGTCAAAATACTTTTTTTTTTAAAAAGAAGAAAAGAAACTAACTCAATTTTTTAAAAAGTGAATTCAAGAATAGATTTTCTTAAATAAATGTATATATTTGAAAACTAAATAAAGAGTCTCAAAAATTGATTTCTTCAATTTTTTGAAATAAATTTTATATATTTAAAAACTAAATAAAAAGTAGAGAAACATACAAAAATAGATTCTTCAAATTTTCTCAAACAAACTTTATATATATTTGAAAACTAAATAAAAAACATGAAGAAAATTACAATAATTAATAAATCAGGAATATCTATAAAATATTTAAGAAAATTGTGGTCAAAGAAAAATATCTTTAACAATGCGAAAAAGTACTTGTGTCGTATAAAACAGAACGCCTAGAATATTTGTTTAAGTTTTGAATTAAAATGGTGGTTAACCGAACCACTGAAATAGACCTTACTCGATTCAAATCTGAATTAGTTAAATTTATATAATTTTATTAAAAATAAAAAATAGTAGAATTACCTTGAACAATATAGATGAGCTGGGGAGTGTTGCTATAGTAAGGCAACAAAAGCCCGTTGCGCCGGATCTCATGCCTAACGGCTTGAACTCCGGCGCACTCAAACTGTTCTTGGGTAGCATCCCAGAACTCAACTACACCCGCCTCGGACTCAAACCTACGGTTTGGTTCTTGAGCGTTCAAACGCTCAATTTGGCACTCGGTCTTGGACCTGAGTGCCCGATGCTGCTGCTGATCCTGCAGCCTTTGCCAGAACTGCTGTCGCTCAAAGATTTGAGCGAAGCTGAAATGGCAAAGAAAGAGAAAACAAAAGAAAAAACATAGGAAAGAGGACTTAGAAGCCATTTTTTTATAACTATAATTACTCTTCTTTTTTGTTGATGAAAAAATGGGGAAAATGGGTGGAAATTTATAGGGAAAAATTGAAGAAAAAAAATTGACACGTAATTGTTTGCATGGAATCAAAGTGTTTGATTGATTTTAACACATATGAAGAGGTTTTGTGTGAAATGTGGCATAATGAGTTGTTTCTTTTTGTGTTTTTATTTGCATGGAAGTTTGTTTTTATTCATAATGTTTATTAGGTGGGATTGTTGGTTTGGTGTTGCAAGTGTTGTGTTGCATCGCTTGTTTTTGGTTTTGATAGTCTTATCAAATGAGAGCGAGAGATCATTTGGTACAGAGATTAATAACGTATATAGGAATTAATAATATTGAGATTAGTAATTGTAGGAATTATTTTTTATCAAGCGTTTGATTCATTGCTTCTCAGCTAATTTTGTGTTTGGTTTAAAACTCTACAAAAAAATTTCTTTCCAATTATATCCTTGAATTATTATGAAATTTTCTATTTCATGTAATTGAGTCAAGGTAGATAATTGTCGGACAATATTTTTTTTTATGGTCTTCTAACTAGCTAGGAAAAGAACAATTATGTCGTCATTTTTGCTATTTTCTCACTTGATTTATTTGAGGGTAAATAATTGTCATCTTAGTAACACACACTGAGATCAACAAATAATACATTAAATTAAGATCACAAACGTCATGAGGTCATATATAAGTCTTTTCAATTAGTAAATGTTAAACAACTCACATTTCAAATATTGTATTGATTTGTAATGGATTTATTTAGCAACAAACAACTTTCTCTAAATAATAAAATTTATAAGGTAATTTATTTAAATAAATTTACTAGTACAAATATAAAACATAAAATCAAGAAAATGATTTAGGGGTATTTTTGTTTTTACATATATTAATCTCATGGTATAAATCATATGTATTACTAATACCACCAAATGTAAGGTATTAGTTATACACACCGAATAGGGTGTATAACTCTAATACATGTATTAGTTATACATAGACCCCAAATTCCTACCAAACATGGTACTAAAAAATATCATACATAATACATGAATTATTTCTTCTAATACGTACTCTACCATTGTTGTGGCGTACCCTATGTGT